ATTAAATTGTCTTTCTAAAATTATTTATTTTTAGGTGTTTATAATCAATAACTAGAAAGATATTTAACGTTAAACATAAAAAAAACTACTATTGTTTTTAAAAGGTGCATATTTTCGTCAAAAGAAACGTCTTATTTCTAAAACTTAGCGTAAAATCATTGTTTTAAAAGGCCACATCCAAAAATGCAAAGAAACATACGGTGTTTCATATAAAAAAAGACAACTTTGTATTGTAACTTATTTTTGAGACACCCTGTATAGTTAAAAATAATTTTAGGCGATGTACTGGATTTGTATCTATCAATGTCCAATACAATTTTTTAAAAATTTTACCATTTTTAGATCACTAATGGTCTTTTTCAACTCGCTGGGACACCCTGTATGAACGATAGTCTTTCATTACGAATATACAGGGTGATAAAAAAAGTTTCATAATAAAAATTAAAATCTTTGTGAATAAAAAAGCGTTTATTTTCCGGCAATTATTTTATTTTTACTCTTACCAGTGGCGTGCATTCGGACACGTCACTGAATATTTTTATTTTTTTAGAGTTATTTTTCAATGTAGAATATACCTATGGTTGCAATTTTTCGCAATATTAAGAAAACACCCTGTATACAAAGGGTTACTTATATGAATCAAACTTTGATATATCACTAACACAAAATTAATAATTAATAACTTGTCATTAAATTAACTGTCAAATTGACAGTTGTCATCGATTGTTGAATGTAGTATTTTGTGAATCACTCTGTATAACGAGTAATGGTGAAGTGTGGTAATTTTTTTTAAATTTTTTGTAAAAATTCTGGAAACCAGACTTGGTTTTACACTTTTCAAGTCTGTGATCGTGATAATTATTCACCACCCACCCTTTTATTAGTCACTGATCAATGAATTCAAACCAGCTTTTCTAATTAATACCAACCGAATTGAAATTTGTCAACACCTTGACTTTTCGTTCCATTCAATAATAGGAACAAAATTATTAGAATTTATTAACGGTGCTTACAATTATGTAAATATTCTTACAAATTTTATTACTGCACACGATTTTACGCTTCAATTCGCTTTATGGTTAGTTTGTGCGGCCAATTAGACATACAATTATCTGTGCAAGAGTGAATGACTTGGTTTTATTCAATAATATTCATAAAATTTGTGTTTTTGTGATAATATGGAATTTATGTATCATTTCATTAAAAAAATCTTATGTAATTTGTTTACAAGAAAACGAATTTAATTTGATAATTTTTAAAAACACAACTGTTCTTTTTCCTTGTCACTTGACATTTGTTCCGTCTCTAAATTACCCTCACAGAGAGTGACAGACAGTAATTGAATTAGTGTAAAATTCGATTAGTTTTTTGTCGTCTCACTGATAAAAACCCAAATATTTCTTTTAAAATTATTTTTAAAACATTGTGGGAGTCAATTCTCAGGTTTTGTAGGAGTTAACGGCATCTTATCTTTTTTATTTTATGACAGGTTAATAAAATTTGTCCACCTGCGATTTCAGATTTTGCTTATAGATCTATTCTTAACTTTATTACTTAATATCTCAAAAACTACACATCGTAGAGTATTTTAAGTTGTCGCATCGTGTTCAGTGCGTAATTTTACGTCTAGAAAACCATATTTTAAGCGTTTTTTCGTTTTCTAAGGTAAATTCACAATTTTTAAGATTTTACTATCTTTCACCTTCAAAAACTCAAAAAATTCGTTATTTTTTAAACTTGACCCAATAACTTTTTATGCACTTTTTTGAGTCTTTAGCACCTCTAGAAATGTATAAAACGTTATATGGATCAATTATAAAGTAAATTTTTTTTTGGATTTTTGTCAAGATGTTGGTCGATTTTTGGCACCCGGAGCGCTCTATTGCCAATAACTCAGGACTTATTGGTAATAACCTCATATATTTGGTACCATTGGAAAGAGAATTTAATTTTCTATCATACACAAAAAAGACCAGTGTTCTACGATAAATAGTTATTGAGAAAATTTCTGATAAAGTCAAAAATATGAAAAATATAAATACTATTATAACTTCAAAACTGTTACGAATTTTGCAGTTTAATTGACGCCAATCGATTCCCCGGAACATTTTACATAGGTTTACGTCAAAATATTATATCATTGAGACACAGTTTTGCCGCAATTTACAAAATAAAAAAAACGAAAAAATTGTTAACACCCCCCCCTTAAAAACTAGTGTTTTTAAACATGTCTCAGATTCGATTTAAACCTATCTTATCCGATAGTTTTTGACGCGCTAATTACGAATTTTCCAATTATTTTGCGCTATCTCTTTTAGTTTCGCCGTAATCGGCGTTTGAAAATTCAAATTTTTTTTGCGAGATATCGACTTGGCTTTGGCCTCATTCTTTTTCTTACGCTGATTACGATGGAATTAAATTCTTTGCTCTAAGTCTAATAGTTTGGCCGTAATCGTCGTTCAAAAAGTAAAAATTGTCAAAATTGTGAAACTATAAATGCGTTTTTTGACGAAACTATAGGACTTAGAGCAAAAAGCTAAAAACCATTAAAATTAGCTTAAAATTATCTATTTACTGGCACAAACCGGAAGTCGCTCCGGGTTATGGTTCCGGGTACAGAGCCATTTTTAGTTTTTTCAAAAAAAAATTCATATCTCAAAAACTATGAGTCCTAGGTCAAAACGGATTGTACAGGCGTATTCTTCCGTTAATTTTACATGTAGTACTAGTTTTTTATAAGAATAAAAAAATTTTGATTTTTGGTCAAAATCGGATATAGTGCCTTATACTTTTAGCCTTATTCTTAACTTTATTACTCAATATCTCAAAAACTATGCATCGTAGAGTATTCTAACTAGTTGCATCGTGTTCAGKGAGTAATTTTACGTCTAGAAAACCATATTTCAACCGTTTTTACGACTTAAGGTAAATTGACTATTTTTACGATTTTACTACCGCTCACCTTCAAAAACTCAAAAAATTCAAAGTTTTTGAAACTTGACCCAATAACATTTTATGCAATTATTTGAGTCTTTAGGACCTCTAGAAATGTAAAAAACGTAAAATGGATCAATTTTAAAGTTAAAAATTTTTTTGATTTTTGCCGAGATTTTGGTCGACTTTTGGCACCCGGAGCGCTCTATTGGCAATAACTCCGGACTTATTGGCAARAARCRCTTATATTTYGTACCGTTGGAAAGAGAATTTAATTTTCTATCATATATTAAAAAGTTCAGTGCTCTACGATGAATAGTTATCGAGAAAATTTCTGATAAAGTCAAAAATATCGTAAATTTAAATCCGACTATAACTTCAAAACTACTACGAATTTTACAGTTTTCTTGACGCCAATCGATTCCCCGGAACATTTTACATAAGTTTACGTCAAAATGTTATGTCATTGAGACACAGTTTTGCCGCAATTTACAAAATAAAAAAAACGAAAAAATTGTTAATTTGCTCTAAGTCTAATAGTTTGGCCGTAATCGCCGTTCAAAAAGTGAAAATTGTAAAAATTGTGAAACTTTAAACGCGTTTTTCTACGCAACTATAGGACTTAGAGCAAAAAGCTAAAAACCATTAAAATTAGCTTGAAATTATCTATCTAATGGCGCAAACCGGAAGTCGCTCCGGGTTATGGTTCCGGGTTCAGAGCCATTTTTAATTTTTTTTCACAAAAAATTAATATCTTAAAAACTATGAGTCCTAGGTCAAAACGGTTTATACAGGCATATTCTCCAGTTAATTTTACATATAGTACTAGTTTTTCATAAGAATAAAAAAAAATTGATTTTTTGGTCAAATTCGGATATAGTGCTTATGCTTCTGGCCTTATTCTTAACTTTATTACTCAATATCTCAAAAACTATGCATCGTAGAGTATTCTAACTAGTTGCATCGTGTTCAGCGCGTAATTTTTCGTCTAGAAAACCATATTTCAAGCGTTTTTACGACTTTTAGTAAATTGACAATTTTTACCTTCAAAAACTCGAAAAATTCGTAATTTTTTAAATTTGACCCAATAACGTTTTATGAACTTCTTTGAGTCTTTATAACCTCTAGAAATGTAAAAAACGTTATATGGATCAATTTGAAAGTTGAAATTGAAAAACAAACTGGCAACTTAATTTCAAAATCATTTCAAATCACATTTCACAATTCAAAATTCAAATCGTCAAAAATCGTGGTCGTCATGCTTTTATAAAAATTGCTTTAACAGATTTTGGCTTGTAACCTAAATTTTTGTTTTAAAAACATTTGCTATCAATTCTTAAACACAATAAATAATAAACACAGTCGTTGATAAATCATCTTTATTTCTGTAAATATGTACAAATAAAAAAATAAACAACATTTTCAACAAAACAACTGTGTTATTATTGCTTAGATAGTACGGTTTCCACTACAAATCTACTCCTACCACAAAAATAAAATTGCATTGTGTCTACATTGTAAAAAGTTGAAAGAAACTTTATTTTTCGCCGCATCACAATATTTAAAAAAAATATCCAAGAATAACTAATAAAAATCGTTATAAAACATCGTAAATATGCTCTAATAACAATAAAAAGATAAAAAAGACCGCAACAATAAATTGCACTTAAAAAATGAGTACAGGAATGATGCAAACTTGTGTATTTTAAAGTTTTTTTCTTAATCACTTACACAGATTGTGTTTTTTTTATCAAACTCGCCTCTTTGATTGCTTCATCCAATCAAAGACTAGATTTTTGCTCAATAAAGCTTGTCACTGGTTAAAAAAATAAAAACTATCACAAAACTATTGAAAAAACACCAAGTGTCTGTAAAAAGTAGGCCACGAAATCCGAATTTGGCAACACTGACTGACTGTCAATCAGTGTTGCCAACAGATTTATTTTACACTCACTTGGTAGTACAAAATAAGCAAAAATGCCACTTTTTTGTTTTTGTTTTTAGAATTTCCCTGCTTTATCCCTAACCTAAGGGTGGGGTTCCCCTTATTACGTAAAACGGCAACAATAATCGTTATTTTTCCTATACAACTCGGAGACGACGGCCAAAGCGCCCCCTGGTATAAACCTGACGAAATTGTCGCCCGCCAAAGGCCCCACAGCGAACAAATCATCGAATCCTTCCACACAATGTGTCAGTTTGTTTATCTTTAAAGTGTTGGTTTTGCAATCGATCGGGAGGTCTTTTTTCACCCCCAGATTGTACTCTTGAGGCAAGAAGGTCAAGTCGGGACGCGAACCGATCAAAACGGCCGCGAATGAAACACGGAATTTGAGGGTTTCCCCGGATTTCGAGGCGAGAATCACCGAGCGAGAGGTCTCGTCGACGTCGAAGAGGGTGTATTCGGGGTAGGCGGTGTAATAGGGGTAGGTGGAGCCGCCGTCTTTCATCATTTGGTGCACCTGCAAATAAAAAAGTTTTAACAAATCAATTTTGAAAAATAAATGTTTTTTTTTTGTTTCATAACCTCACTTCATTTTTGGGCTGTGTGAGTCGGGTCAGTGATAAATTCTAGATATACCCACAACAAAATTAATCAAATGAGACACTCAGAATAAAATTCGACAAGATATCTTTATTTTTTTACTTATTTTTACAATAAATGTCTTTTTTTTTGTTTCACAACTTCACGTTTACATCAAAAAAGCCGGTTAAAAGTCAGTTTTACAATACATTACATAATATAGATTAAAATACTACGTCATATTTTTTATTTGTATATTTTTCCATGTCACTATTACATTTTTTATTTCAAAATTTTTAATGGGAAAAAACACAAAAATGACTGACCAAAAATACCGAATAAATTGCAGTTTTAAGGCTTTTTATGTAAGAAAAATTATTTTGGGAAATCTTCCCCTACATACAAAGTGTTGCCAACATAAAAAAAGTGGCATTGTGACACTTGATTGTTGAAAATGGTTTTTCTCATTAGTTTTTATTCAAATTTAAAGCAAAAAAACGTAAAACGGGACAAGTTTTGTGAAAAATAACACTTTATAGATAAACAGTATTTCGGAAAACCCTCCCCTCCATGCAAAGTGGCATTGTGACAAAATAGTTTTTCATTAGTTTGCATTCAAATTTCAATCAAGAAAAGTGTAAACATGTAAAAAGGGACAAGGTTTGTGCAAAATTCGATAAGGTAGGTGGAATTTCATAATATATTTGGGAAACAAAGAAATTTTTATTACATAACCTCACTTTTGAATGTGAAATAACCGGTTAAAAATGTCTTTATAACATAGGTGGTACAGTACACATTAAAATACCAACTTATATGTTGTATTTGTATATTTTTTTAATATTATTTATTACATTTTCTATTCCAAAATTGTACAGTGTTGCCAACATAGAAAATGGTGCGAATTGTCGTTTTTGAATTTTGTCTAATTTTTGCCCAAATTTTAACCAAAACAGGGGCAAAGGCCTGAGAATAGGAAATGTTTTATGCGAAGTTTCATCAGGTAAGAGAAATTTTGTAATACATATGAGAAATTGTATTTTTTTTGTCTCATAACCTCACTTAAAAAATTCAAAACAATTGTCTTGGGAAACGTTTTTCTCACTTACTACCTGACTTTTTATGGAAAAAAATGTCATATTACTCGATTTTAAAACCAATTTCAATGATTTAAGTATTTTTTTGTAAATTTTCTCTCGTCTTAAAAATACTTACCTTGTGATACTCCGGGTACATATTCTCCGGCAATTGTTTGTTCAAATCGGCGGATTTGTTCCTAAAAACGTGCAAAACGGGTATATTCCGCCCCCTGGTGGCAATCACAGCATCTGCGGCACTCAACCCGGCCCCCACGATCAAGACCGGCTCGACCTCCTCCGCCCCCTTGCTCCTAATATAAAAATCCAAATGGTACTCCAAACTCCTCAAATCATGAAACAGCCACTCCGGATCCGGCTTCACCTTGGAAAACTCCAACCTATTGGGTAAATCACTCGCTCCGTTGGCCAAAACCAGATATTTGCAATGATAGATTGTGGTCTCCCCGGATTCCACATTCCGGGTCTCCACCACCCAATTACTCTTCTGTTCCGGGTCGCACACCGGAGTGATTCGAAAAGGCACTCGAGCATTCTTCAACTCTAAACTAAAACTATCACTAGAACTATCACAAGAGATTGAATCACAGCTTAAACTAACAGATCGGTCTCTGCGCAGTTCGCGCTTTCTATCGGGGCTTTGCCCCTGACAAAGCCCCTCGCGGGGGCGCTTACAACACCGCTTGCGGTGCCCCCTTGATAGAAGGTAGTTGAGAGCGTCGGAGAGTCGACAAGGTTTTGATTGGTTGATACGGTCGAGGTTTTCGGTCAGTCTTTCAATTGCCTCTCTCTCCTTTCGAGTGCCTTTCAAGGGGGCTATATTTGTCGCAATTGCGTTGTTGATGAAGTAGCGAGACAAGTTCATTTCTTTCACGTATTGCACGTAGTAGTTGGCAACATTGCACGCGAAAGCACGTTTTTCCCCAGAGTCACGTGAGTGGAAGGGGAGGCCCGGGAGCGCCATCCATGTCCCGAGGGACAGGGTCAGGATGTAGGGGTCCATCTTGTGCCACGAGCCGCCAGGGGGGCCCTTGCCCAACACCACGTGGTCAATCTGGAAAAAAGCTCATCTAAAGCAGGCTTCAAAATTATTTGTCCACTCTACAGGGAGTTAAAAAAAGATTGTAAAATATCGAATCCTAAAAACCAAATATCCAAAAATATTTTACATTCTTTTTTTAACACCCTATATAATCATAAGCGAACCACAAGCCAGTTAAAAAAATCTATTTCTACTTTTACAACCCCCAATTTTTTAATTTTGACGTCAATGTCACACTTCATTAGTGGACAAACAATTTTTAAATTAGGTTTATGTATAGCAAGAGAAATGAAATGATTCTTTCAAGAGATGTTAACTTAATTTAGACACTCTGTATATTAAAAAAGCAAAATGAACATTTTTTGACTCCAATGCCACAATATATACCATGTGGACAAACGTTATTGAAATCAGGTGTATGCATAGCAAAAAAATTAAATGATTCTTTTAAGAGTTGACTTAACTGAGACACCCTGTAGATTGAAAAAAAAAAAGCAAAACTAACATTTTCTTGACGTCAATGTCATAAAATACATATTAAGAAATGGACAAACGTTTTTGAAATCCGGTTTCTAGCAAGAAAAAAAAATTAAAATTAAATGTAATTATTAAGCGATCCATTTTTGTGAAAGATATTTTTGGTTATAATGAAGGGGAAAAAAGATGAAGAGGACTTATATTTTTCCCCTTCGTTATAACCAAAAATTAAATGATTCTTTTTAACTGGGACACACTGTATATTAAAAGAAAGTAAAATAAACATTTTTTTGACGTCAATGACACAATGTATACCAAGTGGACAAACGTTTTTGAAATCAGGTTTATGTATAGCAAGAGAAATTAAATGATCTTTCAAGAGATGTTAACTTAATTGAGACACTCTGTATATTAAAAAAAGCAAAATGAAAATTTTTTTTGACTCCAATGCCACAAAAATACCAAGTGGACAAACGTTATTGAAATCAGGTATATGCATAGCAAGAAAAATGAAATGATTCTTTTAAGAGTTAACTTAACTGAGACACCCTGTAGATTGAAAAAAAACAACAAAACTAACATTTTCTTGACGTCAATGTTATAAAATACATTTTAAGAAATGGACAAACGTTTTTGAAATCAGGTTTCTAGCAAGAAATATTGTATCACTAATTACAAAATAAAAATTAAATGTAATTATTGAACGATCCATTTTTGTGAGAAAAGTTTTTGGTTATAATGAAGGGGAATATTACAAAAAAAAAAAGAAAAGGACCTATCTTTTCCCTTCTGTTACAACCAAAAATTAAATGATTCTTTTAAGTCATCTTTTAACTGGGACACACTGTGTATTAAAACAAAGCAAAATAAAGTTTTTTTTAACGTCAATGACACAATATATTCCAAGTGGACAAATGTTTTTGAAATCAGGTTTATGTATAGCAAGAGAAATTAAATGATCTTTCAAGAGATGTTAATTTAATTGAGACACTCTGTATATTAAAAAAAAGCAAAATGAAATTTTTTTTGACTCCAATGCTACAATATATACCAAGTGGACAAACGTTATTGAAATCAGAATTATGTATAGCAAATGATTCTTTAAAGACATGTCTTTACTGAGACACCCTGTATATTAAAAAAAAGCAAAATGAACATTTTTTGACGTCGATCTCATAAATACCAAGTGGACAAATGTTTTTAAAATCAGGTTTATGTCTAGCAAGAAAAATTAAATGATTCTTCTAAGAGTTGCCTTAACTTACAGGGTGTATATTAGAAAAAATTGTTACTTAGTGGGGGTACAAACCTCGGCGCCGACTTTTTTGAATTCGACCAGTGGCTCCATCTCTAGGCCAATGTCCGCACACGGGTGCAATAGTGCGTCGAGGAGTAGCGAGACGGGATTGGTGGAGCGACCTTCGATGCCGTCCGCTAGATGGCGCAAGTCTTGCTTTACCAAGCACCGATTTACGGCAGAGCTGAGCCTCATTGATAACATCTCGTCCGGATGAGAATCCGAGATAAGGAAAGGAAGATTTCCCGATAACATGTAAGAGAGAGCGATGCCGCTTGGGCCGTTTCCTGCAAGGTCAAGGTCAAACATTCATTGAAAATTTCAGCGATTTGCACTTACCTATAATGACCACTTCCTTGTATACGACGTCACTGGAATTTCCTGGCTTCATGACTGAAAAAATAAATAAATTTCAGGTACAGTTATTTGATTTAAGATCAAGGACGCGGCGAAATCGATAGTGCGATGAGTGATCTTGGGAGGAAATTTTGGAAACGATCCAAGTAAAGTAAAAGTAAAAATATATCATGTGACACATAAACAAATTCGGAAACAAGACATTAGCCAACTAAAATAATCACTAATCAGTGAATGTTATTTAATAATTTTCCATTTGTTTTATCACAGTTGTGTTATCAGTTTTTACACAAATAGACCCGTAAAAAATTGAATTGAACACCCGCCACTGGGTTGAATTTTTTTAGTGTTGCTATGACAACTCTTATTTGTGTCATTTTTCGTTACCATAGTTACAGTGCATTTCTATGGTAACAGTACGACCAACACACATGTGCGACTCGCCGGGGATGCAAAAAAGGGGTTTTCATGTTAAAATTAACGAAAAAATGCTGTAAATGTTTTATTAACCTACTTTACGTTCGAAATTTCGAGAAAACAAGTGAGAGATTGCAATTTATGCAACCACATTTTTTCAAATATTTACTCCATTAACCGACTTTGAATTTTTTTTGTTTGTGTCCATTAAATTACATCACAACTATCGGATTTCAATAAAGACTGACCCATTTTCGTTCTTTTTCCCTCAAATAGGCCTGAATGCAAGCAAACGATAAGAATCTGTCGTAATTCCAGCCAAACTTAGCAACGAAACCACTCAATATTTTGACGGTCAATTCGTGAACTTGAACTTTATGAATTATTTGTCCTTCCATTAAGAGCAATTAGTCATAAGTGGGAGAAAGAATTCACAAAATTCTAATTTTAAAAATTACGTAAAAAGTTTATTCAACCATCGATTTGGCGAATTATAATTTATTCAAATAAATGTAAATAAAGTCGCGAAAAATTGTCAATGTCGACTAGTCAGCAATTATTAATGACTTAACGAAATTTCAGGCGACCTAAAAACTATCATGAGAAAAAATCGTGTGTGTCATCCGATTTTTTTAATCTCTTATCACGACACTCGAAAAAGCCGGAAAGTCGCTCTTTGATTTATTATTGTTTTCATCAATTTCTATTGTTGATATTTATCTTTGTTGTCTCGACTACTCGACTAAAATTAAATGGTCTATCAGATATATCAGTCAAGTGTAATTTTTAATTAGCCACAGATAAAAATATCAGGAATTTTCCTATTTTGTAATTTCAGTGATTTAGGATAAACAATTGGGACATAATTCCATTCAACAAGTCGACTTTACGTGCAAAATAATTTAGGTTGACTCGTGTAAACCTCCAATGGAATAATTGATCGGTTTTAACCCATATTTCATGAATAATAAGTTGATGACTCGGCGATCAATAAAACACAAAGAACGAATAATTATTTATATTTAAATTTGGCGGGCTGTCAAATGTCACAAATGACAACTGAAATGTCAAATTTGTCACTTGATTGTCAATCTGAATCTTATACGTCGTCAATGACTGTATTTGGAAGTGAATAAAGTCACGTCTCAATATTTTTTTGATGAAACTTTAGAGACATTTTACTTTTAATGACAACACATTTCGCAACTTCATTAAAGTCTTCAGATATTATTTATCTTGTTTTTGAAAAAAATTCCATAATAACTTTTATTTCACAACATAAATCAATATACCACAGAGAACGAATAATTATTTATACAGGGTGCGCCAAAACTCGTGGCCCAGAAAAAACTGCCATATAAGGTAAGATACCAGGAACATGAAATTTTGCACTTTGACTCTATTTATTTCTGTTGGAACAATAATTGATTTTCCAAGTTTTTTTGCTATAGACTATTAAAAGAGGAAACAAGGAAGATATATTCTAAATCAATGTTATTTGTGGATTTTATTGGCAAAATTTTTGTATCTTTACTAAATAATTGTAAAAAAACATATATATAATCATCAGTATCAATAAATAGACATAAAAAAATGTTAAATGTCAAAAATAAATGTCAAAATTTTTAACAGAGAATTTTTTCAACATGTTTTCCATGTCCTTGGGATCTTACCTTACCTTTTTCTCTGGGGCGCGAGTTCTGGCGCACCCTGTATTTAAATTTGGCGGGCTGTCACTTGATTGTCACTCTTAAAAAAATATAATTGGGAAATGCCAACGCATGTCGCAACTTTTTTAATGTCTTCAGATATTATTTATTTATCTTGTTTTTAAAAAAATTCCATAATTGGTTAAAAACCTCGAATTATTTTATTTCATTTCCTCTAGTGGAATGTGTAGGAAGTGAATCGCGTCTTCATTGGAAATAAGTTCGCAATCAATGATTATCGATTATTTAAGGTTATCTAAATCCAAATAAATCAAATTTTTCCAGGCAAATTTAGCAAAATTTTGGAAAAAATAAAATCATTCATAAACCATTTATCTTAATTATGGAAATTTGTAAGATGGTAGTTTATTAAAGTGAAGACAATAGATTGACATTTCTTGTTAACCTTGGAGCATAAGTGAGGTATAATTATGTAAAAAAAACACAAAAAATTACCTCTTGAGTCAATTTTAATTATTTTGCAACACGTGTCCTCCCTGTCATTATCCTTTTGAAATGTTTTTTTTAAATAAAAACAGAATTATGTAATAAAACAATAACCGTGCTAATTTTATTTTGGGAAAACATACCAATCAATAAAACAATAGAAACATGCTTTAGAGATTTTTTGATAAGTGATAACATTTCGAAAAGTCATGAACTGTCATGAGTACGTTTTATGACAGGTTTTGTGACCTTGACCTGATCAAAGTGAAATTAAGTTGGCAACATTGAAAAATTGAAGACACTCAAACTCAAAATTCATATTTTGAAAGACGCGCCAAAATCTGACATCTGTCAAATTACATAGCCCGGGAAATTTAAATGATATTTTCTCCTAGTGTCAGTGTATTTTTTTTAATATCACTACATACCGGATAATTGAACTAGTTGTTACACCGAGTGTTTATTACTCACTGAAAAATTCAAACTAGTCAAGCAGGTGTACTTTTCAGCTTCTATTTTTGCACTCATGTGTGATAAATTATCGAAATTCACCGGTGATAATGCATAATTTACGCCACATCCCACTTACGACAAGCTTAATCAATAGTGCCAACATCGAAAGCTCACCTGTTTCGTGTTGATTAAAGCTTAGATGAAAAAAATCCTTCAATTTCAGTGAAATTATGACACTGTTGTCAGTTGATGTTTCAGACGCTACACTCGTAAAAACTCCCGAACATTCCCACACGGCAACATCGACTACTACAACTTACACATTTTCCTCATGCCGAGCCGACGAAGAATGGATTAGGTGCGTGCGCATCTTTAATTACGTAAAAATCGGTTTAGGAGCGTAATTTATGGCGTATGTGTGATAATTGTGTGAAAAAAAATGTGGGTTTTATGAGAAAAATCTGAAAATTGAGATTGCTGATAAGATAAGGGTACGCCTTGTTTAGTGATAACTTGCTTAATATTGCGCAATGACGTTTAGATGAATGAAAAAATAAAAAATGAAAAAATTATCGATGCGGTAGAGCTATAATTGTTTGACCTAAAAGTTTAGTTGCTCAAAAATGAATGAAAGCAATAATTTTTTAATTGTAGCAAAAATAAAATATATTTATTTTTTAAAAGTCAAAAACGTAAAAATTAACAGAAAGTAAAATAATTACAGAGCAACCACGTCGATAAAGTCGTCTCGATACAAACAAAATTTCTAATCGAAGCACACTGTAACATACTGTAGTTTTATTGTTTATAAATTTAAAAACTAGACAACCGGCAACATCGCTTAATGAGAGAAGTTACCAACCGTCAGCTTTAAATTCACTAGATTCTCCCAAAATGGCGAATCTAGGGGATTTCAAATCATAGGTTGTTTTGCATTGTGCAATGTTGTCGGTTTAATTTTCCTCAATGTTGCCAATATTTTAATTTGTAGTTTAAAAACATACAGTGTGTTTTCTTAATATTGCGAAAAATTGCAACCACATATTCTACATGGAAAAATCAAATAAACGATAGTCCTACAAAGCTTCGTTACGGATATACAGGGTGATAAAGTTTCATGATAAAAAGTAAAATCCATTAGTTTTTCTACAACCACTTAAAAATTTTAAAATTTTACAGGGTTTGTGGGCGCTTATTTTCCGGAGATTACTCCCACCAGTGGCGTGCGTATGGGCACTATATTAAGAAAACACCCTGTAGATTTTAAAATGGTGAGAAAGTAAAATAACTGCAATATAGTCGTCTCGAAATACAAACAAAATTCCTAATCATAGCACACTCTGATAACAATAGAAGCACCTATTATCTGTTTATAAATTTAAAAATCAACAACGGGCAACATCACCTAGTGAGAGAATTTTCCTAGAATACCAACTTTCAGGCTTAAATCCACTAGACTTCTTTCAAAATGGCGAATTTAGGGGATTTCACATCATAGGTTGATTAGCATTGTCAAATGTTGCCGATTTAATTTTTTTCAGTGTTGCCAATTTTTTAATTTGTGAACAGATTATATAAGTGTGACACTTAAAAACATACAGGGTGTTTTGTTAATATTGCGAAAAATTGCAACCACATAAAAAAAAATAACATTAATTTGTCAAGTAGACGATAGTCCTATAAAGCTTCGTTACGGATATACAGGGTGATAAAATTTCATGATAATAAGTAAAATCCATTAATTTTTCCAAAACCACTTGTCTAATTTTCATAAAATTTTACAGACTTTGTGAGCGCTTATTTTTCGAAAATTACATTGGCGTGCGTATGGGCATGTTACTAGATATTTTATTTTTTTAGTAATGTTTTTTGATGTGGCGGCAAGTTTTCACTATATTAAGAAAACACTCTGTAGATTTTAAAATAGTGAGAAAGTAAAATAACTGCGAAATACAAACAAAATTCCTAATCATAGCACACTCTGATAGCAATAGTAGTATTATCTGTTTATAAATTTAAAAATCAACAACCGGCAACATCGCCTAGTGAGGGAATTTTCCTAGGATACCAACTTTCAGGCTTAAATCCACAAAATGGATAATCTAGGGGATTTTACATCATAGATTTTTTTACCGGTTTAATTTTCCTCAGTATTGCCAACTGTCTATTTTTTAAATTTGTGAGATAATAATAATTGTATGCAATATACAGTACGTTTTTTAATCGTCGCAATCAAAAGTACAGTAATTTGAAAAACAATATAAATAATAAGAAAATTGCTAAATAATAATACATAATTACAGAACCACAAGCCGATAAAGTTATCCTCAAAATGTTTATTACCAATTAAAAAAAAGACAAAACTTTCCTTAAATTAACCGAAAAACATGATAATAAAAAACAAATGTCGAAACAGCTAATTATCAAATTTTTAATTAATTAAAACAGTTCAAATAATAAATAAAATAAATAACTAAAATAAAATATGAGGACTCGTGTCTTCGTTTCATTTCGTTTTTAAGGACACTCTGTATTTTTAGAACTGAATATTTCTAGAATTTCCTTCAACTTGACAGTCTGAATATTATCAAAGTCCTCTTTAGTAAATATGTTTAGAAATAAATCATTTTCGTTGTAACCGTAATCTTGCCAAACTCGAAGGTTAATTAGACTAAAAACTATATCTTTAAAAAAATTATAAATTGTGCCAAAAGATTCAATCATGAATGGTTTTTCTGTTCCACGAATGTTTAGTTTTTCTTTTGCAAGGACATTCATTATTAAAATTGACTCTAGGTACGAATTAAAGAATCATTTGTGTTTTATATGAAATGTTATTAAAGTTCTCTCAATTATGTAACCATCAGTTTCAAATGCTGAGGAAGTTTATGTAATATTCATGACGCCTTAATAATTACACTACAAAAGCACTAAAAGTGAATATTTAACATTTGAAACGTCCTTGTTTTCATTTTACGTAAATCTATGATTTTCTTAAACGAAATAATTGAGTCACGTTTTGTTGTCTTCTTATTTTACACGTTTTCTTCATTAAGTTGACTAGATTTTAAAATAACTCTTGCTGAAAATAAACAGATGCACTATCCTATTTTTATTAATAGCAATAACCCGGAAATTCGCTGGAAAATTGTCCCAAAAAAGTAGTTTTTCCACTTCGAAATAAACACGAATCACGGTTGATAAAAAGTTTAATTACTGCAATAAAACGCTTTGTAACCATTTTGCAACCTCATCAAAATTACATCATCGACGTAATAAATTTGAACACTTTAACAGAAAGAATTAGTTTTATTTCTTATTCTCAATTGTGATTAATTGAGGAAATTTATGGGAATTTTCACTTTAATAATTAACATTGTTATCGCTAATAAACATTTAATTTTTATCAATGAGGGTATACAGCATGTGACAGAAATAAGTGCCTCTAGTTTTAACGATTTATGGCCGACTTTGCAACTTTAAGTTTATTTTAAACACAAAATTTAAAAAAGATGATAAAAACACAATAAATCACTAGTTTTACAGCAAGTATAACCTTTTTACAGTTTTTTTGGAAGACAACATAAATTATTTTCTGACCACGGGATGTAATGACAAATTTCCCGACCCACATATTACAATAGTACAAAAAGTTTTTTCAAACTCATCGACTTCCTTGAAAGTGTTAACAATTTTCCACTTTTGATTAGCGGAAAGACAAAATAAAATACAAGGATGATGAAATTTATTCGCATATTTCTCTCTAAACATTGCAGTAATTAAACGAGTTAATGTATTCAGCAATCTGCGCAATAAATCTAGGAGAAACTTGATTTTTTGTCATTGAACTTAATTAATATCCTTGCAAGTACAAATACACGGTGGCGACACTGAATTTTTATTTTAACAGTGGTGCCAACACCCTACCGGCTTTTTTTCATTCCTTGTACATTTTATTTTACACGGATTACATCAAATTACTGGGCGCCCTCTGTTGATATGTCACAACTGTACAAACAGTTTTCTACATGTTCGACATAACCCCACTTTTAGTTGTCATTCTTGTCGTTTATTTTTCCTTGTTATTTAATCAAATTACTCCCAATTTTGGTTTTAAGTGACTTAACAATGCGCCACGTCCGCCTCCCGGGCCAAAACGTGAAAAAACTGCCCTCGTTTCGCCCCCAGGTAACCCAAAAATTACGCAATTACTTCCTTAATCAAAATTTTGTAGATTGGCGATAGTTTGAACAAGTCTGAGGCCCCACAAAATGACGCTTTGAAACCCAGTTGTTCGTTTAAAAGATATAACATCAGGACTCGTAAAAAAGTGTCATACATTGAAAATCTCTCAGTTAAAAAAATCACCTACAAATGTAAAGTGTGCAATTTTAGCGAAAGAACGAAAAAGGTGATGTTGAAACATCTCCAGACACACGTCGGGGCCCCCTTGTCTTGTCTCAAGTGCAAGAAAACGTTCAATGGGAGTGTTGCTTACACGTGGCATTTGGGGCACTATTGCAACCCCATTTTCTACGACAAGTGGAAATATAAGTGTAGTTTGTGCCCCCGAGTAAGTTTCAACTGTGTTAAACTTTGATTTATTTTGCTTTTCGAAGGAATTTGTCTCGAAGAGGACCCTCGCGAGTCATTTACAAGGTCACAAAAGAAATAATTGCGCCTACTGTGATAAAGTCCTAACTCGAAGAGTGCACTTAATTCGACACTTGTTAGAAGTGCATTCGATTAAACTAGAAAGGGACACTTACAAGTGTGACCATTGTGAAAAAAGGTGCCACAAAAATTGATAGTTTCGTAAAAAAAATTCAAATTTCAGGTATATAAAAAAGTGTTCTTTGTATTACCACTTAAAACAGCACCTCCCCGACAAGTTTGTATGTCTCGAGTGTGGGAAAGTGTGTGAAACGGTTGAAGAAAATGACGAACACAAGAAACAACACGATTTACAAAAACACTTCAAGTGTGCGAAATGTGGTGATCGATTTTCACGACGACAACAATATTTATTTCACTTAAAAGTATTTCACATTGTCACAAATAGATAAAAAAAAACACTAAATGGGGTTTTTAGCGCCACAATCAATACAAATGCGTGACTTGTAACGAATTTTACGCCTCGAGAAACAAAGTTGTGAAACACAAACAGCAAGGGCATGACGTTGAGGGGCTCAACCCCCGGTTTATGTGCCCCCATTGTCCAGTGGCGTTCCACCGCGAGAGCCGCTTCCATGTCCACATGCGAAAACACACAGGTTTTGGCTTAATTTCTGAATTTTCTCCCAACAGGGGATAAAATGACGTTTTATTCCCTCATTTTTAAGTAATTTATTGCTATTTAGCCTGTTGGGTGGAAATTTTGTCGTTAATCCCGGGAATGTGGGTAACGCGAGAGGCGTCGGGCCGAGGGCGTTTTTATTCCTGGGGTTAAAACAGTTGTTTATTCACTTGAAACATAAATAAATGTGTTTTAGAGGACCACAGAAGCATAAATTGCAAATATTGTAAGAAAACTTTCGCCTCGCCTTACGCCTACTACAAACATTGTATTACAATAAACCACGAGAAATTCAGTCCTGAAATCAACGACATTGCGTGTGAAAAATGTGCCAAACATTTCGCAAAACGCTACGACTTGCGACAACACATGTATCGAGTCCATAACACGTCCAAAAAGTACGTTTTGTGTCAATATTGTGAGTACAAAACTGTACATAAATGCAATATGGACAGACACGTGGCGTTACATTTCCGTAAAACTAATCAATACACGTGCGAATACTGTGGGAAAAACTTTGACAGTATTGCTAACTTGAACGACCATATTACCTACAACCACATACAGGTGTGCTACCAACTAAAATAAAATCACCAAAAAACTGTTATTTTTTTCTAGACTAAACAATTTAAATGCGATAAGTGTGACAAGTCGTTTAAACGAAATTCGGAATTGGTTCGACACCAGGATAGCCATTCGGATGAAAGACCCCATGTTTGTACTCTATGTGGGAAGACTTACAAGAGGTTAAATCATTTGAAAAGACACGAAAAACAGGCACATCATATTGTTAAAGAGACAAGAAAGATTAAAAATGTTGCAGAAGAGCAAAAATCTGAGTCAAATTGTGATAATTTACCCGAATTGAATTATTGGATTGACAGCGAGGACTTGTACAGGGTGTATAATGACGTTTCTTTGAGTTATGGGATGTGTGAGGGGCTGGACGGCGCAGTTTTAACACAAAATGAGAACAATTCGTGTTAAAAATTGGGAGTTTTGTGGTCTGCAGTTGGTAGAAATGACAAGTGAGATAACAACCTCACAGAAATCACTAGAAAACGTCGTTATTTTAATAGTATACTATTAATAAGGTAGAGAAGAAAAACTTCGACAAACTATATAATGCTACCTTTTATAACTAGTAGTGAAAGAAGCACCGTAACTAGGGTTTTTCTTATTCTACTATTCTGTAATTATACTAGTTTTTAAGTAATGCGAGTAAGAAAAAGAAGAGCAAATAAATTTTTACAAAGTATGAAACCAAAAAAAATTATTTATCCCAAATTATACAATTTAATCAGTTAATAAAAAAGTTAATAATAAACTGCGAAACTTCGCAATGAGTGTGTATTTAATAATAAACAAAAGTTAATAACCGTAAAATCAAGGCCGAGAAATTGTCATTAAGAAAAAAAAAATATGTAACTCATCTGAAAGTATAATTTTAAATCAAGGACTGTGCAAAGTTGCTCGTCTTTATTACAAACAAGTTTTTTTGATCTTGCGATAATAAACATGGCGCAGGGTTTTTTTTTCTACAATGTGACAATTAAACTAAAAATAGGTTGGCAGTAGTGTCATGTGCACACTTAATTATTCAAATGATTGATTTTTAAGCGAGTCAATGAGGGGCCATTAAATTGCCGGAGCCGGCCCTGTCCCACGCGCAGTCGCAGTGCTGCCACCACTCAAATTCCTCTATCCCTAGAAATTTTTCTTCCCGGTTGTGTTATCGGTTTCTTTTCGTCCCGTGTGTGCAAATGTGCGTTTTTCTGTACGTGTGGACGCTCGAAATCGGTCAATTTCCACATCAACAACTCTGAAACCGCAATTCAGTTGGAGGTTAGTGTCGGAAAAGTGTTGTTTTCGTGTCGAGGAAGAATGCGCCATGGCCGAGGAGTATCCAGTGGTGGTGCACTTTTCGCGGGACCCCTCTTTGGCCAACATCGAGCACATGAAGCCCCAGCTTGAGTCCCCCGATAAGTTTTCCGAAACGGGGCACAGTTTCGATGTGTTTTACGTGATCTGTATTGCCTTGTCGATCATAACCTATGTGTTGGATTTGGTTTTGGCCTGTGTTTTGCTCTATTATTACTCGATTTACGGGTATGGACTTTATTTTGCCCTGACGTTGACGTTCGTTCTTGTGCCTGCCTTGTTTGTGACCACGGTTAGCCTTAGATGGTAAGAAACGTTAATATTTCGCATTTACACACATTTTACATACCAATTGAAGGAAAACCACGCCGAAATTGCAGCTCAAGTGGAAAAAAAGAAAATTTTTGGGTGAAACTTCAGTAAAAAGCGTTAATTTTTGAAAAATGTCAAAATTATTAACAATACCAACCTTAGAAAAATTTTGTCGTTAAGTATAACAAAAACCGACTTTTAGCTTGATTTGTGTTTTTTTAGCCAATAATTTTGATAAAATTTGCGGTATTGTTTTGTTTTCTTGCTGTATAAAAATAATTATTTATTTTTATTAACACTTTTTTAATTATTTTGACTAATTTGGAGATGGCTGCTGTCAAAATGATTCTTGAGTCATTCGAAATGATGAAAAAATAACTAAAAAACTCGTTTTTTGTAAAATTACCACCGTTTTCTCAGTGTGCTTCCATTTAAGATGGAAACGTTGATTTTTAAAAAATTTCATTTGGTAAAACACCTTAATTATTTTTTTTTTGTTTTTATTAATGTGGCAACACTGATTTTGAAATTTTTGCACAGTTATTAAAATCATTTTAGATACGAAGTGAAGGAAAATGACGCCGATATTGCAGTTCAAGTGGAAAAAAGTGAAGTTTTATGTGGGTTTTCAATAAAAAGCGTTCATTTTTGAGAAATGTCAAAATTATTAACAATACCAACATTAGAAAAATTTCGTCGGCTTAATTTGTGTTTTTTTGGCCAATAATGTTGATAAGATTTGCAATAATGATTTGTTTTCTTGCTGTATAAAAATAATTATTTATTTTTATTAACACTTTTTTAATTATTTTGACAATTATTTTGACTAATTTGGAGGTGGCTGCTGTGAAAATGATTCTTGAGTCATTCGAAATGATGAAAAAATAACTAAAAAACACGTTTTTTGCAAATTAATCACCGTTTTCTCAAAGTGTGCTTCAATTTAAAATGGAAACGTTGATTTTTAAAAATTTTCATTTGGTAAAACACCTTAATTACAATTTTTTGTTTTTATTGATGTGGCAACACTGATTTTGAAATTTTTGAACAGTTATTAACACACATTTTACATACGAAGTGAAGGAAAATGACGCCGATATTGCAGTTCAAGTGGAAAAAAGTGAAGTTTTATGTGGATTTTCAATAAAAAGCGTTCATTTTTGAAAAATGTCAAAATTATTAACAATACCAACATTAGAAAAATTTCGTCGTTAAGAATAACAAGTCGTTTTAGCTTGATTTGTGTTTTTTTGGCCATTAATATTGATAAAATTTGCGGTAATAATTTGTTTTCTTGCTGAAAAAATAATTATTTATTTTTATTAACACTTTTTTAATTATTTTGACTAATTTGGAGGTGGCTGCTGTCAAAACGATTCTTGAGTCATTCGAAATGATGAAAAAATTACTAAAAAACAAAATTTCCAGCGTTTTCTCAAAGTGTGTTTCCATTTACGATGGAATCGTTGATTTTTAAAAATCCTCCTTTAGTAAAACACCTTAATTACAATTTTTTGTTTTTATTGATGTGGCAACACTGATTTTGAAATTTTTGAACAATTATTAACACACATTTTACATACGAAGTGAAGGAAAATGACGCCGATATTGCAGTTCAAGTGGAAAAAAGTGGCAAAATTATTAACAATACCAACCTTAGAAAACTTTTGTCGTTAAGAGTGACAAAAACTATTTTTAACTCGATTTGTAGTGTTTAAGTCAATAAAATACATGGTAATGATTTGTTTTCGTATCCTTTTATTGTAATAAAATTATAATTGAATTATCGCTTTTTTAATTCTACTACAAATACGGGGGCGGCTGCTGTCAATGGTTTTTGTGTCATTTGAAATGATGAAAAAATAACTAAAAACGCATTTTTTTTAAATATTTAATACCGTTTCCTCAAAGTGTATCTAATTTGCTTTCATTTGATACTAAACACTTCCACAAAAAATGTCAAAATTATTTTGTTTTTTTCGTTTTGGCAGCACTGCCAAGTATGGCAAAGCGGCCACAAACAGGCGTAAATCGCTTCCGGCGAACCCGGAAATGCATGAAAATCGAAAGTTGGACGTTTTATCAATATATTGATTGGTACAAACTGTTCCAAGGTCTGAGAATTTACAAAAAAGGATCGTATTTTCTCTATTGTCCTTATGTCCCAGATTCGTATTCAACCTTCAGTCACGTTAATAAATTTACGACGAAAAGCTCGTAATCTTAAGGGTCTTTTGTGACCTAAATGACTCATTTGGGTCAACTTTTTTCGCTTAAAATTAAGTAAGTTATTCCTGTTGTCGGATGTTGGTTTGTTTATACAGGGTGACTGAAGTAATAAGTAATTAGCCTATTTCCGGATAATTTCTCACTCAAGCTTTCTAATTAGGAATTATTGATAGTTTTAGTTGCCAACTGAGAAACCAAATTTTTCAAATAAGCAAATGGGTAATTTAACAGGCATTTGCGTCACTTTTGACACTTATTTTCTCCATTGTTGGATAATTTATAAACGTAATGAGAAAATTACTTTAATTACTTCCGGATGTGATCAAATTTGCGCCTAACGCTTCCTGAATAATTAATTATGTGACATTTGATAAAAAACAACAGTGTAATGGTTACCAACTAAAAAATTAAAAATAGGACTAGGTTTAATTTTCTATTGTTTGTGATACCAACATTATGTAATGTCACTAGAACAAATACGGAAGTGCAAAACATATCTAAAATCTGTGCACGATTTAATAAACAATAGACTATTGTGCACACAGCCATTTAAAGCGGGGCATTTATTGTGTTTTTGCCACTTGTTGGATTCCAAAACACTAAATTCCCCTAGATTTGTCATTTTTCCCATAGCAACGGGTTAATTTTTTGTCTAGCATTTGAATCACTTGATTCTATTTTCGTGTGTTTTTTTAACCAATCAAAACATTGAGTGATCTTGGCATTGAATTACATTTATTTTTGCATCTTTATGCCTCTGCCAAACTTTTTATAGCACGCGAATGTTTACATAAACTGCAACAAATTAAGTGATAATTGTGGTTTTTCAAAAATAAATTTCTTGCGTTTGCACTGAAGAAAGTTTCGATAAAATGTCCTTGAAATAGTAAATTTTTCGCTTATCAGTTATCACACAATGTCACTGTTTAACGGTCGTAAATTACGTAAATTATTTTTAGACGATTGCGTAGTGTATTATTGACTATAATTGCTAATTATGTACTCAGGTATAATTTAACTTGCGTTCCCACGAATCGTATTTCAAAATTCCCAAACGTAATAACCTTGAAAACCACCGAAATAGCAAAAAAAACCAAAATATTTTTGTTTACCAATGGGAATAAAGGCAAAAGCACGTCGTCAAAATTTAATGTGGGTGTTTTTTTTTCACAAATTGTATCATGCGTTTAGTTAAATTTCAAATCGAAGTAGTCTGTGGCTTCGAAATTAGGTTGGCAACACTGAATAATACCGATGATTAAGTTTGCAACCTTGACTCTCAAATTCAAACGTCAAATTTTTATAGTCAATTGTCATTCGTTTCCGGCGGGCAACCACTGACTCAGCCGTCACGTGAAACATCTAGATATAACAAATTACTTTTTGTGTATACTGGACGTTTGTCATTTTGATTTTTCAAAAAAATTAGGTAATTTAGCCAATAAACTTGAGTTGCAAATTAATAAACACTCTGTATACAGCCGTTTCAATTATCATTTTAACTTATTTTTTAACAATAAAGAGACTAACGGTTGTTTTGTCACAAAATTTTTTATTGAAAAATTAATGAACACTAGGTATGCACGTAATTTATAGTGAAAAGTTTTTGTTTGGCAACCTTGAACGTCAAACTTTTATAGTCAATTGATATAACAAATTAGTTTTTTTGTATACTGGACGTTTGTCATTTTGTTTTTTCAAGAAAAATTAGATAATTTACTCAAAAAACCTTGAGTTCCAAATTAATAAACACTGTATACCACACTGACATAACCAATTAGTTTTTGTGTATCTGGACGTTTGTCATTTTATTTTTTTTTAAGAAAAATTAGATAATTTACCCAAAAAAAAAAACTTGAGTTCCAAATTAATACACTCCGTATATAGCCGTTTCATTTATCATTTTAACTTTTTTTTTAATAATAAAAGGTGAAAGATACATTTGAGTTTTTAGTCGCCTATACGTTTGTTTTTTCAAAAATTTTTTATTGAAAAATTAATGAACACGAATTTACAGTGATCTCTGTATTTATTTATTTTCTAGTTTTTACACCAGATGAATAAATGATTTTTGTCCTCAACTTAGCGTTAAGTTAAAAATCTTAGTTTGGCAACCTTGACTCTCATATTCAAACGTCAAATTTTTATAGTAAATTGTCATTCATTTTCGACGGACAACCATTGACTTAGCCGTCACCTGACATATTCTGATATAAGAAATTAGTTTTTATGTATACTGGACGTCTGTCATTTTGTCTTCGAAAATTAGATAATTTAGCTATAAAAACCTTGGGATTTCAAATCAATAAACATTATATCCATTTGATTTTTTTAATAAAACAGGTTGTAGTGCTTTTTAAGTATACTAGACGTGTATTATTTTGTTTGAAAAGGGTTAATAATTTAGCGTTGCTAATAGATTTTTTTGACACAAACATTATAATATTCCGTGTTGCCAACCTAAATAGGAAATTTAATTATTTTTTAGTTTTATTTCAATAAAAATGGCGGTTCAAGGATTTGTCAAAAATAATTGTTTGGATTAAGATTAACATGAAAATGTTGAAAGATTCTGAAAATAGGATATCCTCTCAACTGTTATTTTCAGGATTTCCAGTTTGCTGAATAATCGCAGTTGTTTATTTTCATGCCTGGATAAAAATAAAATGTGCGTTACATACGGAATTTCGCTAAAAACAACAATCCGATAAAATTTTTAATTTCTTATCTGCTCTAATAATTTTAATCCGACAATTATTCCTGACAACTCTAGAAACATTATCTCAAATTAATTGAACCTAAAGTGGAACAAATTACGAAGAAATTGACAATCGACGGAACTGGAGATTTAATGTTTTATTTCGTCATCTGTCTAACGTTACGGATATTTACTTTTTATTACCAGTAATTGAAAATGTATGTCATAGAATAAAGTATAATTCCACTGAGTATTTTTCTAGTGAGCTGCGAGTTGCACAGCCGACTTTGATTTAATTGAAACGTTTCATACAAATCTGACATTTAACCTAAGACGAGACTTGCATTTGTTCTTCATCTCATGGCCAACTGGGATTAAATAAAAGCAATTTGAATTTGTCCCGATTTCTCGTGGAATAAAATCGATGGCTGAACTAATATTTGCGTTGAAATTGTTGTTTTAATTGACGTGTCAGGGATTAATTTTTTTACCGAAAAATCGATTTAGTTACGGTCATCGCTCTATAGCAAGCCCATTCGTGCTCAATTTGCATGAAAACAACATTTTTCCCATTAATTAGTCTAGCAAATAATCAATATTAAAAGATTTGAATCATCCGGGGAATTTTGAGAGACTGGAAAGTTTTTATTTATTCATTGACGTAATCGGGTCTCCTAAAAAGTAAAATCACTCTCACATTTTTTTTTATCTATTTCAGGTACATAATCGATCATGATGACCCGTCCGTCGGTAAAACCCGATTATTGCACTGGGTGGTAAGAATTATTTTCCTCCTTCTACAACTCTCCCCTTTACTTCGCTACATCGATACACTGATCTACGGAATTCAGAGTAAAATCATCGGTTCTTCGTTTCTCTATCGTCGAATGTTGGACGAAGACACCAACAGTGCACTTTTAAGGTTGTATCACTGTTTTCTCCACGCCGCCCCTCAAGCCATCATCCAATTGATGATCCTCTTGGTGCACGTGACCCACCCCGAAAAAGTACCACTCGAAATAGGTACGAGTTAGTTGGTTTGATGTTACCAGGTTGGCAACGTAAAATGTCAGTTGTTATATTTTGACAGATGTCAACTATGGTTATTTAAGTTGGCACGACTGAAAATTATTGCCCATTTTTTGTTTATTATTCAACGTTGACAACTCAATGTTAAAATCAATCTTGCGATTGGTACGAATTTTTTTTCACAAATTATACCAGTTAAATTTCAAATCGAAGTGGCCTGTAGCTTCGAAATTAAGTTGGCAACACTGAATAATGGCGATTATTAAGTTTGCAACATTGACTCTCAAATTCAAACGTCAAATTTTTATAGTCAATTGTCATTCGTTTCCGGCGGGCAACCACTGACTCAGCCGTCATGTGAAACATTTTGATATAACAAATTAGTTTTTGTGTATATTGGATGTTTGTCATTTTGCTTTTTCAAAAAAATTAGATAATTTAGCTAATAAACTTGAGTTGCAAATTAATAAACACTCTGTATACAGCTGTTTCAATAATCATTTTAACTTATTTCTTTAACAATAAAGAGACTAACGTTTGTTTTGTCACAGAAATTTTTATTGAAAAATTAATGAACACTAGGTATTGTTTGGCAACCTTGAACGTCAAACTTTTATAATCAATTGATATAACAAATTAGTTTTTTTGTATACTGGACGTTTGTCATTTTGTTTTATCAAGAAAAATTTGATAATTTACCCAAAAAAAATTTGAGTTCCAAATTAATAAACACTCTGTATACCACACTGACATAACAAATTAGTTTTTGTGTATACTGGACGTTTGTCATTTTGTTTTTTTTAAGAAAAATTAGATAATTTACCCAAAAAAACTTGAGTTCCAAATTAATACACTCTGTATACAGCCGTTTCAATTATCATTGTAACTTTTTTTTAACAATAAAAGGTGAAAGATACATTTGAGTTTTTATGTCTACTAGACATTTGTTTTTTCACAATTTTTTTATTGAAAAATTAATGAACACGAATTTACAGTGAACTCTATATTTATGTATTTTCTAATTTTTACACCAGATGACCAAATGATTTTTATTCGCAACTTGGTGTCAAGTTAAAAATTTTAGTTTGGCAACTTTGACTCTCACATTCAAACGTCAAATTTTTATAGTCAATTGTCATTCGTTTCCGACGGGCAACCCCTGAGTCAGCCGTCACGTGAAACATTTTGATATAACAAATTAGTTTTTGTGTATACTGGACGTTTGTCATTTTGTTTTTTTTTAAAAGTTAGATAATTTAGCCAATAAACTTGAGTTGCAAATTAATAAACACTCTGTATACAGCTGTTTCAATTATCATTTTAACTTATTTTTTTAACAATAAAGAGACAAACGTTTGTTTTGTCACAAAAAAGTTTTATTGAAAAATTAATGAACACTAGGTATACACATAAATTATAGTGAAAAGTTTTTGTTTGGCAACCTTGACAAATTCAAACGTCAAACTTTTATAGTCAATTGATATAACAAATTAGTTTTTTTGTATACTGGACGTTTGTCATTTTGTTTTTTCAAGAAAAATTAGATAATTTACTCAAAAAACCTTGAGTTCCAAATTAATAAACACTGTATACCACACTGACATAACCAATTAGTTTTTGTGTATCTGGACGTTTGTCATTTTATTTTTTTTTAAGAAAAATTAGATAATTTACCCCAAAAAAAACTTGGGTTCCAAATTAATACACTCTGTATACAGCCGTTTCAATTACCATTTTTTTTTTTTTTTTATAATAAAAGGTGAAAGATACATTTGAGTTTTTATGTCTACTAGACGTTTGTTTTTTCACAAATTTTTTATTAAAAAATTAATGAACACGAATTTACAGTGAACTCTATATTTATTTATTTTCTAATTTTTACACCAGATGACTAAATGATTTTTGTCCTCAACTTAGCGTCAAGTTAAAAATCTTAGTTTGGCAACATTGACTCTCAAATTCAAACGTCAAATTTTTATAGTAAATTGACATTATTCATTCCGACGGGCAACCACTGGCTTAGCCGTCACCTGACATATTTTGATATAACAAATTAGTTTTTATGTATACTGGACGTCTGTCATTTTGCCTTTTTAGGAAATTAGATAATTTAGCTTAAAAAAAATGGGATTCCAAATCAATAAAAGAATTCAGTGTTGTTAATAGATTTTTTGTCACAAACGTTAATATTATTCCGTATTGCCAACTTAAATAGGAAATTTAAATATTTTTAAAATAAAAATGGCGGTTTAAGGATTGTCAAAAATAATTGTTTAGATTAAGTTTAATGTGAAAATCTTGAAAAGTTCTGAAAATAGTAGATCCTCTCTCAGGATTTCCAGCTTAAATGTCAGTTGTTACATTTTAACAGATTTCGTTGGCGATTATTCATTAATCTACTTAAAATTTGGTTGGCAACATTGAAAAATATTCGCCATTTTTTGTTTGATTATTATTAAACGTTGCCAACTAAATGTCAAAATCGCAAAAACTAAGTTGGCAACATTGAAAGAAGTTTCCTATCTTCTTTTGTTATAAGTTTTTATCTTCAATTATTATATTTTGACAGATGTCATCGTGATCCAATCATGGACGGTCGTGGCCGCCTTGATGTCAATCGCATGGTCTCTCACGTCATACCACAGATCTGTCCGTTACGCCCGAGACGATAAAGAAAAGATCAAATGGGCAGGGACTTTGATTGCGTTCTGTTGGCACCTTATGAGTGCATGTAAGATTTGTGTACCCAATTGGCTATGAAAAATCAAACTTGACATTTCAGTATCACGTGTTTTGGCCTTGAGTCTCTTAGCTTCCATCTTCCCAGCATGGATGGGGTGTGTGTGTGCCCTCCATTGGATCGTGATGTCCATATGGTTGACCTTGAGTCAACACCACCCGGCAGCATGTAGTAGTCGATGCGAGGAGATATTCCTGTCAATAAGTCTAGGCCTTGCCTATGTGTTGGCATTTATTTCACCACGAGATGGCCCCACTAGATACGTCTACCTCGCCTATTACCTCGTCTGCTTCATGGAGAATACAGCGGCGTTAGTCGTGTGGTAATATTGAAGCACGAAGCGAAACTGAGTGCCTTAATAATATTGATTTTTCTCAGGTGTGTTACAAATAATTCCGTTGATAATCCCTGTCTCTATTATGGGGCTGCTGGGGCGCAAATCGTGGCGTTCCTCCTCGGGATTGCATTCCTCCTCATCTACTACAAATACTGCCATCCATCCAAGGCCTACCGGAGTAAAATCCCCGATGTGTCCGATTCCGGGATGCTCGATATCGATAAGCCCGGTTTTAGTAAATCGTACGATGTGAGATCGCATTCCTGATCCGCGACTTTCGTGTAAGCTGAGGCTTACACAAGAGTTGCATACTTTATTTTTCTAGCTCAGTATTTGAAATGTGATACTTGCTTCTTGGAAGTAAAACAGTATTGTGGCATGTGAGTGGCCTTATTAGACTGCCAACTGTGCCAATCGGTGTCTACTATTGCCTTAAATGTATATATGACTGTTGTTGACGCTTCAGATTTTATTGTTATTGACGAAATTCTCTGTACTTAATTGAGGCACTGCTGGTTTTTGAACACTGTACTCGAGTTTGAGTGATATATGTAACGCTCTGCGATATTAATGTGAATTATTAATACATTATCTACAGGGTGTTCCGTCTAAACCCCACTTTCGAAGTATTGGGAGTTGGAATAATCGTATTTATTTGAAAATTGGTACATAGCCATAAACCATTAAGTGAAAATATCCACTAAATGAAAATATTTTCAAGATGGCGGCACTTCCGCTTATACCGGAAGTCGGTCTCAACTTTCTTATTTTAAATGGAAAGCTATATTTTTTACTGCGTTTTTGGATTAATCGGGTGATTTTAAGGGAGTTTTCATCAGTTTTCCCTATACCTAATTTTAGCCGTTTTTGAAATATTTGGAGTTTTTCAAAAATTTTTGGATCTGCACCTTCCACTTCAAAAATCGGTAACTCTGCCGTTTTTTAAGATTTTAAATTAATTTTTTAGCGTTTGAAAGAGAAAGCTTAGATCCTTTTTCTGGTGTTTTCAAATTTTGAAAAAAAAAGTAGCATATCCCAAAATTTTAAGGTTACTTTTGTAATAATTCAAATACCCATAACTTAATTTTTTCAAATGAAATACCCCAATTTTTATTGTACTAATTTAACAACGAATTCAAAATTTTAAAAAATAGCAGAGTTACCGATTTTTAAATTGGAAGGTGCAGATCCAAAAATTTTTGAAAAATTCTAAATATTTCAAAAACGGCTAAATTTAGGTATAGGGAAAGCTGATGAAAACTCCCTTAAAATAACCCGATTAATCCAAAAACGCAGTAAAAAATATAGCTTTCCATTTAAAATAAGAAAGTTGAGACCGACTTCCGGTCATCTGCCATCTTGAAAATATTTTCATTTAGGAGGACTTAATGCATTATGGCTATGTATCAATTTTCAAACAAATATTATTATTTGAACTCCCAATATTTTTAATGTGGGATTTAGACGGAACACCCTGTATAAAGCCTAAAGTGTTATTTTGAGGGAACAAATCGAAATTAATCATATATTTTGTATTATATTTGCAAATATTGTATAGAGATTACTGGAGATATTTATAAGTGTTGGTTTGTAATAAAACTACCAAAACTTTTTTTTTTCATCTTTTAAATAAAAACCCTACAATTATTCACTCTCAGTGTTGCCATTACTCTGCGTGAGGAACACCTGCTGGGGGGCAGTATTCTGCTGAGCCACCTGAAAAACAACATACACGGTTACCAACTTGAAAAAACAAGAATTACTAGTGTGCTATGATTTGAAAGCAATGTTGCCAACTTAATAAACAAAAGAACCTCAATCGACTTGAATCAAGTGGGGTTGTGACGTGGCAATCGGCGCCGTCTGGATAATGACAGGTTGTGACGTATTTTATTTTGCAGATATTTTGACAGGAAATTTAAAATTTAATTTCCCGCTAAAATACTTCTTCGCACTCATATAATCCTATACTCCTGATACTTTTTCAATAGAAATTGAAAATTTTGCTCGAATACTCAAAATCTTAGCAAAAAAAAGCACAAGTTTTAAAAGTATCAGGATCACAGAAACTCGAAGAAGTATTTTGCCGGGAAATTTAAAATTAAATTTCCCGCCAAAATACCTCTTCGCACTCCTATGATCCTGTTAGTCCTGATACTTTTTAACTGAAATTTTAAATTTTGTAGAAATTCAAAAAGTATCAGGAGTGCCAGGATCANTTGACAGGAAATTTAAAATTTAATTTCCCGCTAAAATACTTCTTCGCACTCATATAATCCTATACTCCTGATACTTTTTCAATAGAAATTGAAAAAATACGCAAAATTTTAGCAATCTTAGCAAAAATTCGCACAAGTTTTAAAAGTATCAAGATCACAGAAACTCGAAGAAGTATTTTGCTATGACTATTGAAATTAAATTTCCCGCCAAAATACCTCTTCGCACTCCTATGATCCTGTTAGTCCTGATACTTTTTAACTGAAATTTTAAATTTTGTAGAAATTCAAAAAGTATCAGGAGTGCCAGGATCACAGAAACGCGAAGAAGTATTTTGCTATGACTATTGAAAGCAATGTTGCCAACTTAATTTTAATAAAAGACCCTCAACCGACTTGAATCAAGTGGGGCTGTGACGTGGCAATCGGCGCCGTCTGGATAATGACAGGTTGTGACGTATTTCCCTGAAGTTGCATCTTAATCATTTGCAACTGTTGCGGCGTGAGATTAATCTGAAAAACCATGAAATTATGAAACAATCTGGGGGAAAAACCGCACCAACCGGAATTTGCTGTATTTCGCCACTGGGTGTGACGATTTGTTGCACGATTTGCACATTTCCGGGCTGGTTTTGCGCTTGTATCAGGACCGGAGTTTGGGCCGTCGAGGTGTTGGGGGGCGACGAACTGGCCGCGTTCTGTAACAGCGCCATCTATTGGTGGAAATCACTTGGGGCTGGCCTTATACCTGATCGATGGCGTTGACTTGCACGGTTTGCACTTGTTGGGGCTGCACGATCTGGATGGCGCCCTGGGGCTGCGTGGGGGCGGCGGTGGCAGCCGCCGTGGCGGTGTTCTGCTGCAGGTTGGCGTGGTGTTGTTGCGCGAGCTGGAAATAGTAGACTTGGTCGGAGTTGGAGGCGCGGGTGGCGTCGTCTCGGGGCTTCGCCGGCTTCATGTCGTCTCTGGGGACGATGTCGATGAGGAAGTCAAACTGGTCGTATTTGGAGATGGCCATGGCGATGTCGTTGCGTTGCAGAGTGCGTCGCTTGTTGTCCTCGGTGTGGATCCAGGCCCTCAGGGTCAGCTCCTGGATGAAGATCTCGGCCGCTTTGGCGAACAGCAAGGGGGCTTCGGCCGAGATCATCTTCACGTCCTCGTCGAGTTTCATGATTTTTTTTATGCGGGCGAGTGGCAACACTTGCTGTTTCAGGTCCATCTACGGGAGTTTGTTAGAGGGGGCATTTGGGGGTTAGATTGGTTTACGTTGCGGATGGCGCGGATGTCTTCCATGGCTTTGGGCCAGAATTGGTTGAGGACGTTTTGGGCCTCGCTCTGGGTCTGGCACTGGTCTTCCACACATTGTGTTTCGGTTTTTTCTTCAGTTGTCTCGGTGCTGGAACTGGGAAGTCAGACTTTGGGGGCTGGGGGCGCACTACTCACGTGTTTAAATAGTACACCGACATTGTTGCGATTATTTAAAGATGAATTGACCGCCTCTAATGGCCAATCACTTTCACATTTCTTCGTCTCGTCCAATCCAATGTTGTTTGACGATAAAAACAATATGGCGGGCGACAGTGGAGCCAACAGCGGAATGTTAAATGCCCCAAATCGACTTTATATTTTAATAAATGTTGCAAAACTTAATTAATTAATTATATTACAGTTAACTATACAAAAACGCTAGCTTTGCGATTTAAAAATAATAAATTTGAAATAATAAATCACACAGGTGGCAGCACTGCCAAATGTCACTTGACGAAAAAAAACACAATTTTTACAAAACACAGTTTATTCAGTTTCTCAAACTATTTAATGCAGTAAAGGTAGTTAAACTTTAGCTTTTTTCGGAGTTGTAGCCTCGCCTGAGCGTAATTTACGTTTCGTTGCTTCCGGGTCTTCGTCATCTTCTTCGTCCTCATCCATGTGTTCATCATAGTCTTCGTCGCCGATGTCCATTTGTTCTAAAAATTTCGATTTAACAGTTTGACAAGTAAAATAACTTAACCTATACCGTCACCGGTTTTTTCCTGTTCCACGAGTTCGGTTAATGCTATGTTGACATTTTTTTGGATTGTTCTTAAGGATTTCATGTAATCCCCCCAATTGTGATTCTTGAGTTGAACTGTTTCGTTTAAACATTTCAAAATTATGTTATTTTTGTGTATTTTGACAGTTATCACACCTTCGTTTGTCATTTTACTAAGCGCATGGGCACCAACATTAAAAAATTAAATTTTTGAATAAAAATAAATTTTGATTCAAATTTTTTGCAAGATATCGACGTGTCGATTCCAAATCTGTCTTTATACTAATTGCAACAATATTAATACGAAAAATCTCAAATATTTATATCAAAATTAGTAAAAAAGACTATAATCATCATTTTTGGTTATTTTCACCAAATTTCACTCTACGATTGGATATTTTGCTTCTATGTGATACTACTGTATATTTAATTTGTCAAATAAATGAAAAAAACTTAATAATAAACTGTAAATTTATTTAAAAAATACATTTCCCCATTCCCAAAATTTGAACATGGTCAAAAAATTTCAAAATATTTAAATTTCAAAAGTATCAGGAGTACCAGGATCACAGAAACGCGAAGAAGTATTTTGGCGGGAAATTTAAAATTAAATTTTCCGCCAAAATACCTCTTCGCACTCATGTGATCCTGTTACTCCTGATACTTTTTTAATAAAAATTGAAAATTTTGCTAAAATACGCAAAATTTTAGCAAAAAAAGCACAAATTCTTAAAAGTATCAGGAGTAACAAGATCACAGAAACGCGAAGAAGTATTTTGGCGGGAAATTTAAAATTAAAATTTTCGTCAAAATACCTCTTCGCACTCCTATGATCCTATTACTCCTGATACTTTTTAAATAAAAATTGACATTTGTGCTAAAAATCGTAAAAAAATTAAAAAGTATCAGGAGTATCAGGATCACAGAAACGTAAAGAGGTATTTTGGCGTCCTGTTGTTCTTCAAGTAGCAGGAGTAGGTATCAGGATCACAAATTTTTTTTGTTTGTTTACAGTTTCTGTAAAATTGCTTAAAAATTTGGCGGATTGATAACATTTCATATTTATTACAGTTTTCTTTTTTACAAGTTTCGCTAAATGTGTTTAAAACTTCGAAGAATAGATGGCACTAGTTGCATTTAGAAAACTGTAATATTGTTTAAAAATCTGATTTTAGTCACATTTTTAAGTTTACTCTATTCTTAGAAGAGTAAAAAATTAAAAAAGCTGGCTTTTTGTGTTTTTATGTAACTTTTTTACTCTGTTAAATTAACACAAGAAGTAAAAGTATAAATTTATTCAATAACGAAAATAATACATTTCCTCATTTATTATAAATATACATTTCTTTGTTTCGTCTAAGTTTATTAACAGACTTAATTTTTCCAACATTTGGTTACAAAGGCACAAAATATTTTAGTAAAATATTGACATGACACAAAAAAAAAACAAGGTTGGTAACGCTAGAGGAATTTTCGGTCCGACACCCTTTCGACTTCCTCCCATTGTTTACATTGACGTTTGTGACACTTGACAATTTGTTTGCCTCGTAATGCCTCGTTTAAATTCATAAAACTAAATTGAATAAGTGGAGTGAATTACAATTCCTACCATGGAATAATTCGTTTAATTAAACCCGTTCCTCCCCGTGTCGCAAACCCCGTTCGAGACAAGTGCCATCAACCACAATTTTATCACTAATCTTAGTCATTTTTCCTTCAATCTCTGATAAGTTATCGCAATGTCGAGTGTAAACATTTAAACGATGCCATGTATGGGTTAAAAGCGTCCAAAGGACTCTTCTTCCTCCTGCTCTTCAACTCGGCTTTAGGTAAAACCCCCAGTTTCAAGCCCCCAACCCCAGCCCCTGTTTCAGGCGAATCGTGCGACCCCTCTGCCCTGCCCTCGCCA